CGAACCATGTAGGGTTCGCAAAGTACAACACTCTTGGGAGCTACAAGGATAAATACATATATGTACATATCGTACATAAAAAATAAAAAAAATAAAATGGAATATATATATATATATATATATATATATATATATATATATATATATATATATATATATATATCCTCATAGAATTCATTTCTTGTATGGTGTTCACTTCTCGGACATAAAATAACTTAAGCTTCAACATTAAGAATCTCGAGGGTCTAATATCTACCTCAACTTCACCTCGCCTACAAATGTTCACTAAATACAGTTTAAAATTTTAATTAGATGTAGTGACTAGTGAGCATACAAGACATAACAAATTGTATTGCGTTTGACTCATCAACTGACATCAGTCCAGTCATACCAAACACAGTACAACCTATTCTGGCATTCTATCCTGCGCGGATACTGTTTGGGGTACATCAACCAACCGTTCCATTGTTTGTAGCTGATCATAAGGAGCGATCTAAATAGCATAGCATGGCAAAAAAAAAAGCATCAAAAATATTGTTTTAAGTATAAAAAAAATTTGTATGAGAAAGTGGAGGTACCTGACTAAAGCCATCTGGCCATGTAATTGAAACTGCATAGTTTCCCATGGGTCGAATTTCTTCAGGTTCTATGTCTTCTGGAACATCACCATATTGTAATTTTTGATCCCCTGTCCATTCATCCTGTCTCCCACAAATAACAATATTCACAAATTCACCTAATTTTATTTTTTAAAGTACAATGCTGTAACATGAAGAAATGAAAGATTACATACCACACTTTGGGCAGAACGGTCATTTCGTCGAACAGTTGCAGGATGTAGAAGAAACTCTTCGTTTGAATCAGGCACTTTCACCTTGATTGCCTTAATAGACTTGTCATACATCACAGCAGTTGATACTGTAACAAGAAGATGATTGTCCTTTACACTTTTTCACATGTACAGAAAATTCCACGTCATCATGAAAGGAAATAAATTAAAAAAACAATTTGGAGTAAAATAAATCCAACATACCTTGTTGGCGGATCTTTGCACATTGTTGTACCACACAAACTCCTAGATTTTGAAATATGTCAGCGACTTCACCTTGGGGATCAGCCACCACTTCAGGTATTCCACTATCCCCGGAAGCAGACAGCTGTCAAAATCGAAAATTTATCTTTTTTTACACAAATTAATTATAGTGTTAAAAAATTCTTACAGTTGGTCTGATTGGAAGGTCAAACAAATGAGGGATTCCAAACTGCTCCACAACCTGCAGCCACAATATGGTCTCTGTTAAAAATGTTATTCTTCCACCAACCCCTGAGCTGGCTCACACTGTCAGATAAATCAGGTACACAGTGGCCCATTAGGTGGTTGTTTAGTATTATTTAGTCAAGGTTTTTCTTACCTGTGCGCCTGATCCTCTACCAAAGGGATAAAATCGTTTTCCATCCGCATCAAAATGACACATGTTCTCAACAACAGCAACACATGGTACCTGACAGCATACACAGAATTTTGCCTATAAATAAACACTTTTTAAATTATACTTTTAAAGGAAACACATTACACATTACACATTACACATTACACATTACACATTACACACCTTGAGCTTTGAAAACATACGGACTCCTTTCGCGACATCAATGAATGCAAGTTTCTGAGGAGTAGTAACTATCACAGCAGCAGTCAGAGGGACCACCTGTAACTCAAAGTTAGAATTTTTTTTAAAAAAAATATTATAAACATAATGAAAGAAGAAGAACCTGGCATAAGGTAAGTTGAATATCGCCAGTGCCAGGTGGCATGTCAATAACAAGATAGTCAAGCTCTCCCCTGTTCATTATCTGTACTTGTTATTGAAAGTTGAAATTAATAGGAAGAATGTAATTGTGTAATGTGTAATACCACTCTGTAGTAGTTAGTAGTTGGTTGATGACTCCAGAAACCATTGGACCCCGCATAATTGCACGCCCTTGTCCAGCAAATCCAAAGGATACCATCTTCACTCCCATGTATTCTGTTGGAATAATGGTCTTTTTTTCTGGATTCTAGAACATAAACAACACTTTCACATCACATTTACACCAATACCTTTTTAAATGAATGATGATAGTAATAATTACATTACCATTTCAAGAAGTCGGTTTTCAGGGGAGACCATAGTTGGTAAACTAGGACCATAAACATCGGCATCAAAGATTCCGACTCTAGCACCCATTCCAGCCAAAGTGTATGCCAGGTTTACAGCTACAGTTGATTTTCCCACACCTCCCTACAGTTATTACAAATGATGTTTACCCTGAATAATCGGTCCTGAAATGCAGTTAACAGAAAAAGTGTATATTAGAAAAGTTGTGACCTTGCAACTTGAAACTGCAATTATGTTTGATATTGTCTGTAGCCCAGCAGGAAGTTGTGCTGCATAGATCTGTTTTGCAGGTTGTGCTGACATTGTCACATTGACATTTTTGACCCAGGGAAGAGCTGACACAACCTCATTAGCCTTCTGTTCAAACTGCAATTACAAAAAGATACTTTACTTGATTCTCTTATTACTGGAAAATATAATAGATCTAAAATTTGTTCATAAAAGATTGATGTTTGTGTTTCAATTACCATATCCTTGACTGGACATGCTGGTGTTGTGAGCTCCAACCGAAATGAAACCTGAGATAGAAAATTGAATGTTGAGTGAGGTTAAAACTCTTTATGTGTTGTCTCTATGGAACTCATTACATTTTGTTCTAAAACACCTCTCCTGAAGCATCATCAACATGTAAGTCCTTCACAAATCCACATGAGACAATGTCTGTCCCAAAGTCTGGATCAATAATCTGAGATAAGGCTTTTAACACATCGTTTTCAGCTTCTATTGTCAATAGTGATGAAGCATCAGCTACAAACAGCACAGTAAGATATGTATATCAGGTAGTGATTGGATCAATAAAAGAAAATGAACGATATAACATGGAGGTCGATCATCAGAATCTGATCTTCTGCTACATATATCAAGTCTGCACTTTCTACTTAAAGTTCTGATGCTGAACTTCATCATCAGAGTCGAGATAATGAATTTTCACGGCCAAATTAGTGGTTTGCCTAACACAGCACCTAGTAAGTACTTATCTTAACAAATTTAACTCTTAATCAAAGGTAAAGCTAGTTTAACCTTCTGAAATCACTTCGTTTCAGCATTTATCCACTTGATTACCTTTCTAAGTTAATTTCCACAAGCAAATCACGAGCACAAAATGAGTAAAAATCGCACTCACCTTCAAGAGAAGCAGCTGTAGCAGAAACAGGATTCACGGTCCTACGTGTTACACAAAATCGTTGTCGTACAATTCTTCGGGAGAAAAGAGACTCGTTAATGGCGGATTGCAGAATACCTCTCTCCAGAAAATTTCCACCTAAAATTAGAGATTCTCTACCTCAAATATCCAACAATTAAAGCTTAAAACTGCATCAACAACTACAAACCACACAGGCAGTGTTTATACAGAGACTAAAAGGTACTACCTCTGGATTGAGACTTTGAGCATTGTGAAGTCACATACACAGAAGCTGGAGCTTGAAGAAGCCGCATGTCTTCTCCCTGCGCGCGTGTGTGAGAGAGAGAAAGAGGATTGAAGGGAGTCTGGTAAACTTGTGAGCCTCACATTTGGTGTCATCCGACTCAAAAAATTCGCTCGTTATGGGATCGTTGTGGAGTTTCTCGCCACCACTGATTATCCAAGTTTTATTAGTTTTAAATGCGCCCCTAAACTTTAATTGGTTTTGTTATATACCACGGATTCTTTTTAATTTCAAATGCACCCCTGAACTTTCATTGATTGAACTTAAATACACAACATAAAGTTTTCTACCAAAACTATCCATAATATATATTTTCAAGGCACTTTGGAGATTTTGGAGATTTTTTTATTGGGTCTGGTCTGATTCAGATTGTTTAATACCACAATTAAAAACATTTGTTATGTATTTTGTTAGGTCTCCACAATTAGAAACATTTGTTATGTATTTTGTTAGGTCTGATAAAATGTTTTGACTGGTTTTGTTTTAATCATATGACTCAATTAGGTCATCTGGTATACCAAGGACGAGCCCATTCGTGGTCTATGTGGCCACTAACCACTATAGTGCACACTATCCCACTACTTAGTAGTAGCTAGTGGTCGTGGTGGATTGTGGTGCAAACGGAAACCAACGTTCAATACATTTCTCTCTCTCTCTCTCTCTCTCTCTCTCTCTCTCTCTCTCTCTCTCTCTCTCTCTCTCTCTCTCTCTCTCTCTCTCTCTCTCTCTCTCTCTCTCTATATATATATATATATATATATATATATATATATATATATATATATATATAACTCAAAAAATAAGAGGGTTATAGTGGTGGGTATACCAACTTTTTAGTGGTTGTGTGTGGTGATGATGTGGCACTCACCACTAAAATGGTTAGTGGTGGATATTACGGATGGTCTTAGCAACCAGACTTGAAGCGTGTTTGGGATTGCTTTTAAAACAGCTTTTCACTTTTAACTTTTCCAAAAAGTTAAAAAATGGTCCAAAGATGTTTGGTTAAAGAAAAAAATCTTTTAAAATAAGTTTTTGTGTAGAAGGAAAAGTTGGTTTTTTAAAAGTAACAAATTCTATATTTTTATAACTTTTAGGACTTTTTTAACTTTCACCCTAAAAACAAATACAAACATATTTTAAAATTTTTCTTTTGGAAAAAATCACGGGTCAAAAAATCTTTTTTACAAAGACCCCCTTAATCATATGAACTAATTAGCAACCATCAACCAATCAGTTAGACCAAGAGATGTCATGTCAACAGGAGAGACATCACGTCAACACGGTTACCATTGGACTATAAACATTTTGGTTTTTCTTGGATCACTTAACTGACTTTACTAAAAATATAATGCAATCGATGTAATTAATTAACCAAGCATTTTAGTAAGGAAATTAAGCATTCATAAATGCTTGTGTGACTAACACAAGGTAAAACCGACCACATACGTTGGTTACATAATGAAACAAATACCTCCGAAATGTAAATTGTAAAATGACGAATAAACTTGATAAATTGATTCAAATGGCTACGAAATTACGAGGGTGTCCTGCTCTAGCATTTGAAAAAATGGATATACCAAGAAATGAGCTAAAACGATCACCAATGACAACTTTGTTTGTCCCTCTTAATGCCACAGTTTACTGCAAAACCCATTTCTAGGCCTCTTGTTGTTTATAATATCAGCAAACGAATCAACCAACTGTCCAGCTAAGCTACTGGGATCATCCACAAGTGTTTGTATAAAAGTGTTGACCACTCTCCTTTCCTGTTCCGTTGACCTCAAACTAAACCACGTCAGCAGTTTTAACCTAAACTCTTGCTTTATATACCCTTCACATTCCAGCCAGCGAATCATCTTCACACAGTACTCAAAATTTCCATCCAAATCACCCGGTGACATGTTTATCAACGCACTCGCACTGTTCGTATCGCAATCATTCACCTCTGTCCTACCTGGCCTCTTCCGAGACACGTCAGCACGCGACTCCACAGTTGGCACTTCCCCATTCCCATTCGCCCCATGAGGATGCGCCCAGTTTTCAGATCCGCCGCTACCGTGATCCACGTCAGCATTAGACGACTCGTTTACCGGAGCCAACTCTTCGTTCAAATCGGGAACTGTAGCGACGTTCAAGTCGAGCGCACGTGAAGTAGTAGACGGAGGTTCATCGGGTTTTAAAGTTTCTGGTTTCATGATCTGACTGAGTCGACTCAGATCCGAACCGGTTATATCATCTAGGTAGCCTCGTTCTTCAATCCAAGCTAACCGGAGGATTTTCCCGAGGTCACGGACTTTAAATCCGGAGTCGGATTCGACGTCTTTGGTGCCGGAGGTTCCTTCGTAGTGAGGAATCGTAACACAATCGGGATTTTTGTGAAGGATTTCCACGCTTTTAGTGAAACATTTGGCCTCCGAGTGTCCTAAATCGCCGGCTTCTGTGTAGGACACGATCCTAAACGAGTATTCGGTGCACGGCTGTAAGTTTGAAATCAGGATTCGTCGTTGAGATCGAGGAAAAGTTGAAACGGGATCTTTTGAGTTTGTGTGTGTTTCTTCTGTCGTTTTAGAGTACCAAAATTTGAATCCGATTATATCGCTACATGAAGCTGTAGATAGTTCGATTAAAACGAGAACTACGGAAGAAGGTGTTACTTCTTCGAAGATGAACTTGCAAGCAGCGGGGAGAGAACCTTCTGGAAAGTGTTTAAAAAAAAGGAATTAAGAATGAGAATTGTACGAAAATAACATATAACAGTCACGTACCTTTAATATCTAGCGCTGCGAGAGAAACGGTGGAGGAAATTTCATCGGCTTTCTGAATGGCGGTGTTACAGAGTGATTGGACTTCACTGGCGACGGAGAGTCTGCTAACGATGCCACGTGCCATCTTGGCGGAGACACCGCTGAGTGGTCCCACCTCGGTTTCCAATTTGATCTTTGCTTCTTTGACTATTTCGTGAAGTTCGTGAAACCTTGATGTGCCATCGAAGAGGCGGAAGCTTAAATAAATCCGGTAGCAGAGGCTGTCGACACGGCGGGCGTCTTTAGCAATCGTGAGCTGTTTCTTCCAGTATCCAAGTATCCCTGAGATTTTCCCACATGAAGCGCAACAATAACTTCCGTCGAGCTGCATGAGTTGACCTAGGTCAACGACGCCTACCTTGCGACGCTGGAGGGCGCACTCGATGTGGCAAGATAAGCCACATGATTCTGCTGATTGGGAAACGGAAAGGGAATCGGATTCTGATGTGCATTGTAACCAAAGACTTGGGTCTTTGTTGTCATCGAATAAATGGCATATGCAGCATGAACAACGCTTGCAGAAGGTGTCGACAATGGAGAGTGTAGCTCTACAGGCGGAGTTTCTGCAGATCCATGTGCTTGAGCATCTGGAATCGGAACATGGGTTTGTGATTGGTGGAATTCGAATTGGGATTTCCCCTTTTCTGTTTTGTTTTCTTGAAGATTGCTGCTGGCTTTTAGGACTTGAGGATGTCTTCTTGGAATCCTGATTCTTTGAAGGTTTCTTGTTCATCTTTCTTGATGATTTGGTTAGATTGCTTCAAAGAAAATCCAAAGGAGATCACCAGACTTCAAAAACTCTTCTAGACTTCTTCAAGCATCATGTCAGGGTCTGTTTTTTGAAAAGCATAAAGTAGAAATAGTAAGAATAACAAGAAGATACAACGTCTTTCTGTTTTGGTTGGATAGAATGGAATGGAATGAAATATATAATGGAATGAGTGATTACATTCCATGCTCATGCTCATGTTTGGTTGGCTAGTAGGAATGAGATTAATTTGCATATGAATATTTTTAATGTAAATACAGTGTATAAGTGATCACAACACACTATTGATTTAAAAAAGAAGGCTACCAGAAAGTAAGCAATTGTAAGTTTATGTTCACAAAATTTTATTATTTCAATGATTTTAATGGTATTTTGTGAACAAAAACAAAAACTTCGTTACCCTTTTATGGTATTTATTAAATCAGTAGTATTTTGTAAAAAAATAGTTCGTTACTCGTTTGTGATATTAACCCTAAAAACAATTATTACTTACCTTTTCTAAGAATAAATTGTAATTTGCTTTTTTTAAAGAAATTGTAATTAAATTAACAATTTTTTTCGAAAAGACAAAAATGGGTTATATTGTAGTTTTTCATTCCATTCCATGATGGAATGAATATAAAAATAATAAGAAAAAAAACTAGGGCTAAGGAATGAAAATTAACAAAATGGTCCAGAATCATATTCCTTTAGGAATGATCTATTCCAATCCATCGGGCAAAACAAATAGGTTTTCTTATTCCACTCCTTCCCTGATTACCAAACACTACCTAAAATCAACAGAAGCAGAATCATCATTGTGCTCCAAAATCTTAACAAGAAAAACAATCTCATGCTGAGGTTTTACATTAAATACTACACATCTTTTATGACATTTTCTAAACCAATCTACTATGTTCATAAAATGAAAGAAAAAAAAAAAGAATTGGGGACTTACTGTAGATCTTAGTGACTCCCCATAGCTGCAGATTTAGCACTCACAGCAGAACAGCAATGTTCTTCGCTTCCTATGTTGTTGAACATGAGGGAAAATAATCCTGCAATTTACATCTCACAGTATGATCAGAATGAGATGTATAAAAAAACACAAAAGGGATTTACTTTAATTAAAGAAAAAAAGAACAGCCCATGATACGATCTTTGAGCTAATAATAACAGACAACACAATCCATCTCTCTGCTTACCAGATATCATAATCTAGTGTAACATATTTGCTTATATCTTACAGATTCAGAAGTTAATTAAGCAATAGAAAAGGTTAAGAACTTTGTCTAAGTCGAATTATGAAGAAAAAACTGCTCATGGGAATGCGTAAAGAGATATTTTAAACCTCAAAGATTTATCAAAATCTGGTTCACAAAGATTTGGGACAGGAATTTTGTTACAAAATATTAAAAGATACCGATGAAGGTGCCACATCGGTGTTGTTATGCTTTCTTAGGGTTTTGATTTTAGCCCTATAAGGCCTCAACACCAACTATTATATAGCAATTATGGCATTAATTAGGTAGATATTCGGGGCTTAAAAATATTTCTGACGAATTAAGAAAAAAAATCAAAGCAAACCACGTGTTCACAATCACAATCGTCGTATCCAGTTTCCCAATTAACTAACAAAAGGCTCAATGCATATCAACATGCAAATGAGAAAGGTTGGTTACTTGCCAAATGTGAAAAAGAGGCCACATATGTTCAATCAAAGGGTTACAAAAGACATAGGAAGATCAAAATCCAGATTAAAGCATCACCTTTAGCAACAAGTTTATCCCCCATGTCCCATGATGCTCAAGTAACCCTCCCTGTAATGAAATAGCATCAAAATCTCAGCATCACCTTACCCTGAATCCTAACTATACAGTGTTCAATGTGAAAAGGGATTTATCAAAACATAACTTCCTAAATGAAAGAAAAGAAATTAAACAATGTTGAACTCATTCAAACATATCACTTTGAAGTTTTCTCAGAATATCTCTGGCAAGTTTTAATGAAACGAATGGATGTTAGTGAGGGATCTGAACCAAGATATAGCTATGGATTCCTTATACTTATAAATAAAGTGCTCAAATTTCTTGCTAATTGCTATGAATCTTACCAACTAAATGCAATGCATGATCATTCAGCCCTTAACGTTTTAACACAGACAGGCTCCTACTTACAATCACAGGCTCCAAATAACCAAAGAAGAAAAAGAATCACATTTTGTTCAATTCCTCTTCATACATTGTTGAATCTTAGACACAAAAGAAAGAGCATTAATAAAACCATTCTTTCGAGAAAGAAAAAACGCATTGATATATCAGAACAGCAGTCCAAACAACAGGTGGCAAAACATAACAGCAGGACACCACAATTGCAGAAATTAAAGCTTCAAACATGAAGAAGCTACACTATCGTCAAACAAATCGTAATCGAAAATTAAAAAAGTGGCGGATCTGAACACATAAAACCCCGTGAATACGAGTTCTAGAAAAACACGAAAACTCTATGAACATATACGTATGTGTGCTATGAAGATGGTAGTGGATCAAAGAGAAGATACCTGTGAAGAATGTGTGCGATCAGGGAGGAAATTAGGGTTTTTATTTATGGAAACGGGAGGCTTTGGTACGCAAGGAGAGGGGAGAAAATGGAATTTATAATCTGTTAGTTTGTTGATTGTGAGGAATTGTGTTCAATTTGGGTTTTTTTTTTTTTGTTGAAAGCTAATTGGGGCTTGCTTAAAAGGTAGTGTGAGTATCACGCGAGTGAGGGCGCGTGAGGAACCGGATTCAGTTAGAAAAGTGAAGCAGTTGGATGCTGAGCCGGAAAAAGTACAGCAATAACTATTTGACTCTACGATCCTAGGGACGTGTTTCCTACATGATCAGGCGGTGCGTTGGTGCAGTTGATTGCTTTTGTAATTACTCATTCTTTATTAAATCTTTTTAAAGATTTTTAAAGATTAAAATATAAGGATAATTGTAAAAATAGCTAAACATATTAGGAAAATGACTTTAACAAAATAGTTATAATTTTCATTAAATGATCACTTTTTGTGTTATTTCTAAGCCATTTGTTATATAATTATATTCATTTTTTATCTTTAATCTATTACCCTTACGTTGTAACATCCTGTTGATGACATTTCTTAATTCAGAATTTGGGGATCGTAATGTGACCATGTAAAGGTCTTGGGCTTCAATGGTATGGAGTTTAGATTCTATTGGAGGTGTATGATGTTGAATAAGTGATGTAAACTTTGGATTGTTCGATGGAAGCTGAAGGGTAAAATGAGAAAGGTTATGTTTCGGGCTTCTTACATAAATTAAAGATTTTAGTTCGTGATGTTTTTAGTCATAAGTATCAACATATAATTGTAGAGCGCATCGATACCTTTCTGTGGATACAAAAATCATCAAAAACGGAGTTGAAACGAAGAAGTTATGGTTGTTTGAAATTAAGTTGGAAAAAGGGGAGACCGGCAGTACGTTGGGCGTACACTAGGTAGTACGTTGGGGGTACTGGCAGAAGGGGGATGCATTTTTAGGGGGTTATGTTGGGCGTAACTTATGGTACATTGGACGTACCGCCGCAGTGTTAAACCCTAATTTTGTGGTTTTGCGCCCTATTTAAGGACTCTAACTCCTTGGGGTTCTTCCTAACATCGGCTTCCACCCCTATTGAGCCTCCAACTCGAAACCCTAGCCCCCTAGAGAAAATCTTAAACCTTTTTATGTGTTTGGATGCATTTTGGAAGAAAGAGAAGTACAAGCTTGTCGATTATTGAAGCTCAAGCTTGTGAATATAGAGCGTACATTGCTTTTCTCAACTCCAAAAGGTATAAAGCTTGAACCTTGATGATTCATTTGTTAGTTCTAGCTAGTTTTGGGTTTTATGAGATCTTTGTCCCAAAACCTTGGTCATTGTGAGTATGGACTACTCCAGACCATTTGAGCTGTCCTTTCAGACGTTTTGAGTGCATGGTGTCATAAAATGCAAGCTTGTTTCATCCATGCATGAGTTATGGAGTTTTTGGTGATGTTAGAAGTTAGGGTTTTGGGATTGAGCTCTCTTTAGCCATGCAAAGGCATAAAGTTGGAGACTTTATGGATTATAATGCCTTTTAGGGTTAGATATGAGGTTGGGGTGAAGTGTCATAATGATTAAGAGCTTAAAAATTAAGACTTGGGTTTAGGCCGAGTACGCTGAGCGAAAATTTGGCTACGCCCCGCGTAGCCAGCTAGGAGCTCGTTTTCAGGCTTTGTGCTCTACATCATGCGTAGATCCTTGGTACGCCTCATGTAAGGTCAACTGTGTTGACATTTGACTTTTTGACTGAGTGTGACTTTTGGTCAAATTGTGAAGGTTTTGGTCTTGGAAGGGGCAACATGGTCTTTTGCCCAAATTGTGGATTAGACTTTGATTGGGACTAGTTGAGTTTGGATAATTACCTTAATTGCTAATTAGGGTTATTTGGTGTGATGAATAGGCGGAGTCTAGTTCCGGCAGTTCGGGTGTGAGTTTTATCAGTCTTTTGTGTAAGGTGAGTCTACTCACTATACTTTTCTGTGTGGTAGTATATATATATATATATATATATATATATATATGTATATGTGTGTGTGTGTTGACCAGTTGAGTCTTATTTATTGTTAGTGTGATATGTGTTATTGTGTGTATTGAGACTTCGGGTAGTCTCCATGGTTGTTGATAACCCACACGACGTGCTGTTTCCCACTGAGACTTCGGGTAATCTCTAGGGTTGCTAATAACCCATAGTTGTTTATTTGTTTTGTGTTGTATGTGGTATTTTGGGGAAACTCACTAAACTTTGTGCTTGTGGTTTGTGGTTTAAATGTTTTCTGGTTTTTTTATATTAAAGGAGGGACACGATGGTGGTTGTCGAGGCGAACAAAATTAATAACCCTAAATCTTGTACGCTAAAATAGTGTATAGTGGTAAAGGGGTCGAATCCGTGGAGATTGGTTCAATTTTATAATTCTATGAAAATCTCTTTGTAAAAATACTTGTAAAATGCCAATAAAAGTAAAAATGGGGGTTTTGGTCTTTTGAAATACTTGAAATAAAACTAGAATTAAACTAAGATTTAAATAGACAATTTCAACAAAAACAAGGGTTTGATGTAAAATCAATAAGAGAAATATGGTTGACTTAAGGTTTCCTCACTTGAACATTTGATGAACATATCATTAGAATCTAATAGTGCAATACTTGTTTTAAATCTTTAATTTGGCTATAGTAATCCAAGAAGCTTGAGATTACCTAGACTTCTCTTAATTGTTAAAATAGTTAGAAAAGCTCATAACAATTTCCTTAGTCAAAGTCACAATTTTCATTAAGCATGTAATTAGTAAAAGTCAACTGGCATTAAGAACCAAAAAGTCACTAAATCTAAGAGGAGTCAAATGCTTTCACTTCCATGTTGGAGAAAATGTTTTTATGATTGTGTGAAGTAAAACCAACACAAGAACCACTTGTTGCTTGCTAATTTGAGGTACCTTTACTTAATCAAGAAATTAGTCAACTAATCACAACAAATACATTTAAACTCATGAATAAAAACATACAAGTAGTAATAAGATGTTAAAACACAAAACATTCTCATAAAGATTCAAGAACAAGTTCATGGAGTCTTCAACATTCAACAAACATTCAAATAATTTCACCAAAGTCAACCAAGTTTAGTTTAGCCTAGCATGGATAAACTCAAGAAAACAAAGTAAGAGTAGATTGTACCAAACATTTAGCAAGAATCAAGAGTAAAAAGATGATGTTCTTGAGGTGTTCTTGGCCTTCAAAATGATCCCAAAACTCCAGAGAAGTGATGAATTTTCGGATGTGCAAAAGTGTGAAAAGAGTCCCACCAAACTTCCTCAAATATAATCCAAAAGTAAAATCACTAAATTGCCCTTGCAGGAACTCACGTGGGCCGCATGGTATTCTTGTGTGAGCTGCATGAACTGACTAAGAATGGGTCATTTCCATTTCTTGGGCCTGCACTGCTTTAGCCCACTGATCCAATTTTTCTTCATTAGATTGTAGCCCACAAATCTTCAAGTTTTCTTAAGTTTGAGCCCAATTTGTCTTTTCCAAATCCTCCAAAGCTCACGTAATAGCCCGATCAATAATCTCCGCATGCACAAAAATTCTTCCATTTCTTGCAAATTTAAAGTTCATTTTCTCCAAGCCTTCAAGTAATCATCAAGCCCGCTCCATGCATCATTTCCACTAGCAATCAAGTCCATAATCTTTATTGTCCTCCAAGTCCAATCACCTCCCAAAGATCCCGCTCCGCTAGTCTCCTTAAAATCTGCAATTATGCTCACAAAACTAAAAAGTACCTGAAATAGCCATAAATAACAAAAATGAAAATATGCATGAAAATTAGCTAAACTATGAATGAAATATACTAAAATAAATTATAAAAATAAGTAAATAAAATGAAACTATCACACGACCCGATTGCATCGCATCCATGGGAGATTTGTGCACATGATAACTTTTGATGATACTCTGATAAATGTGTAACGTCCGGATTCGCCAGGTAAAAACTCTTGCATTATACTTCTTTTACCCGTGGACTAGACCCGAGTACGTTGGGCATACACAAGGTACGCACGACGTACTCCATGCATACGCAAAGACGGGGGGTCCCCTACGTACGCTGGGCGTACCCATGCATACGCAGGGCATACGCGAGCCAGGTGAAAACCCTAAGTTTTGGGGTTTGCACCCTATTTAAGCTCATTAAACCCTTCAATCCATTTACCTTATCAGTCCCCATTACCTTTTGTGCTAATCTCGAAACTCTATCCATCTTGAGAGCATTCTTGAGTTTACAAAGAGTTTTGGGTGTTCCTTTTTTATCTTGAAGAAGAAGGAGGCTTGAGGAGAAGCAAAGGACTAGAATGAGCTTGTAGATCTAGAGTTCATTCATCATTTCTAGCTCATTGGAGGTATAAAGTCTGGAACTTGCTCATTCTAATTCTAAATTTAGGTTTAGGGAAGACCTTAGCATCTTTTGGTCCCATAACTTGGTCTTTCGGAGTATGGACTACTCCAGACCATTTGAGTTGTCCTTTTGGGCTCTTAAGGGTGCATGAAGTCATAAAAATCGTGTCTTGGAGGTTAGAACTCAACCATGCATGAGTTGGTGATCACTTAAGGGAGATAGAAGGCTTAATCCATGGTTTGAGTCCCATTAAGTCATGCAAAAGCATAAAGTTTGAAACTTTATGGCTTAATACACTATAATGACCTTGGATCTGATTTTGGACGTCAAAAGCTTAATAGGTTAAGAAAAACTCTTGGTGGATTGATGTCTGACCAATACGTCGGGCGTACTCATGAGTACGCTGCGCGTACTGGGCCAATGCTCTGATTTTCGGATTAGCAGTGTACGCCAGGCGTACGTGCCAGGTACGCCATGCGTACGTCTGTCTATGGGCCTTTGGCATTTTGGGATCGGGATTTGTTGGGCTTCTAACTTGATCGAGTTTGGGCCTTAGGCCCATTTGTAGTATTGGGTCATTTGTGAGCCTTGGGCCATCATGGAATTCTTGGACCTGTGATTGGGCCTTAGGGTCCTTTTTCTTAGTTGGACTTGGAATGCATTTTGGGCTAGTTTGGATTTGGGCATTGATAGGGTAGGCCCAATAAGGTAGAGTTTAAGCAGCCTTTTTACCCTTAAGTTTGAATTTAGGGCTTGGACTCTCGGGTTAGATTATTGACCTAATTTCTAATTAGGGTTTTATACTTGTGATCTAGTGAGAGGATTTCGCGAGTCAGTAGCCCGAGTATGATTTGATATTTTCATTATGAGGTGAGTTTCCTTCACTGTATCCGTGGGTCAAAGGCACCAATGTCGGCCCACTGGTTTATGTTTGTAGTATGATGGTTGTTTTCGTGACAATTGTCTGTTATAACTGTATTTGCTTGATGTCTCTATGACTTTTTTGTTATGATATTATCTGGTAGTGGTAGGAGTGAAATAGATCCGATACCGGTTGAAAGAGATTGAAGAGGTTAAAATATACCCAGTATCGGTTGAAAGAGACCGAAGGGGTTGAAATATACCCAATATCGACTGAAAGAGACCGAATGGGTTGAAATATACCTAGTACCGGTTGAAAAAGACCGAAGGGATTGAAAGCACCCAAATATGTATATATATATATATATATATATATATATATATATATATATATTGTGAAATTATGTTTAACACTCATGAACTCGATATATTTTCCAAGTCTTGAAGATATTAGGAAAACAAGTTACTTTATGTAACTCATTATGAGGATGAAAAGATCCAAACATGTTAAAGGATACTATATAACTAAAGAAAACCAAATGAGGGGCCATATTTGACAAATAAGCAAAAAGTGAGCCTTTTATGATACTCACGGTTTTAGAGGGACCAAAAGAGTCATTTTTGGATAAAAATGGGTTTTTATGACATTCACGGTGTTATAGGGGTCAAAAGTGTTATTTTTGACAAAATGAGTTTCTTTTGGGCCTACTCGGCTTTAATGGGCTAAATTGGTCATTTTTCATAAAAAGGGGCCTTATTTAGAAATTCACGGTTTCATGGGCCTAAAATGTAATTTATGGTCTTAATGGACTTAAAATGTCATTTTTATCAAAAACGGGCCTTTATTGTAAATTTTCGGCCATAATGGGCCTAAATTGTCATTTTTATCAAATATGGGCATTTATTGCAAATTCTCAGCTTAATGGGCCTTAAGTACCCATTTACACGTTTATTGGGCCTCACATACCCGTTTACATGTTTATTGGGCCTAATATTCTCATTTCATGTTAATGGGCCTTAAATACCCAATTACTTCGCTATTGGGCCTGTACTACCACTACAAGAAATTTGGGTATTTACCCACACACATTATGTGTAGGTATATGTCTTTTATGTGTTGGTAGTTGTTTGTGCCTACACATAAATTAAGTGTCACTATGTGTTGGCTCATGCCTGTAGATATAGATCATTACCAACACATCAAATATGTGTAGGTATAGAGTAAGTTATATCTACACGTACATGTGTAACTAAAACTATTTACTATGTGTAGGTATAAGTATTATAATTTGTTGAATTGTTCGATGATGTAGCTAATGACATGGTTGTTGATGTGGACAATGACATGGACTACAATGATGCCATGTCAAATGACATAACGTGGTCCTTAAAAAGTGTTGGTTTACACATGTCATAAAATATGTGTGGGTAAAAGTATTTTGATGTGTAGTTAAATTGACGTATGTATAGGTATGAGATTTAATATGTGATGATAAAAATAAATTTATGTGTGGGAATTAAACTATAAATATGTAGGTAATAATGTTCAAATATATGATCGAAATACCATTTTTAATTAAAAATATTATAACATAATAAATCAAACCACAAATGAAAAATACACTTCATAAAAATTGAAATGTTTAAACTAGAAAAAGAAAACATAGTCATAAGTGGCTACAAGCATAGTGAAAATACTAAAAAAATATTAAATGTTAATTCCATATGACTGCGTCTCCATAAAAAATAATGAAAACAAACAAAGCTTCGTCCAAGCACTCCCTATACAACAGACTTGTCGCTTACTGAATCCACCAAATGCCCGTTTCTCAAAAGTCATCATTTCTTCCTATTAGAACAAAAAAGAAGACAAGTACAATAAATCATGTATTTGTTCATCTTAAATGCAAAAAACAACAACATACTTTGTTTATTTCTAGCATTTAACTAAAAAAAAACAATTGGAAGAAAAAAATTAAGTTAAAGAAATAGCAACATACTTTGCTTATTTCTTGCATTTGTTTACAGATAGGCACAATGTACTTATAATTACTTTGTCATGCTTGAAACATTCTTATATTTGTTTACCAATAGTTACTAGTAGCAATATGTAACATGAAGTAACAATTTACAGTTGAAGTTAATATTGTTCTCATTGGTAAACTACATAACTATGTTGCTAATATGCATAAGAAATAAAGTACATTGTTTATATTGGTAATGAGAGTAAAGTATCTGGTTGGCGAATGTCCAAGCACAACGAGGACTTGTTCCGTTCTTTAGATCCATGTCTACACCAGCCATACATTAAGCCAATACCCCAAGTTCATCACATACTTGTTGAGCTAATTTCAGATGCCCACATAAGATAATTACCATCTAATATTAATAAAACAAGAAAATAACAAATTCTAACAAATAAAAAAGATTCATTAATAGATTATCATACATGTGTAAACCCCCAAGCAATAGCAACTTAACCAGAGAAATTCTAGACTTTGAAACAGAAAGAAACTTTGCTTTTGTAATTTAGGCTTCTGTAGAAAGAATGTATGCGTATATTAGAAATCTAAAACATACAAAATTGAAGTATGGTGGAATTACCTTTGAACCCTTTGTAGACGGCTAAATATTGGATGAGTTTCCATTGTGCCAAAGCAAGATCAGTTGTACTGTACCTGCCTTTGATAAACATACATATGTTAATTTGATATGTTAACTATCAAAAAACAAGCGTCGGGATTGCAAAAAAGTATATGTTAATTCACAATTCCCTAGATTTCAACATCAGATGCTAAGTGAGACAGAAAAAAATTAATCTTTCTACTTTTGCAAACAGAAAAATCATGATAATGCTAGAATATGAAGGATTTGACTGAGGAGAGACCGTTGAAGTGGAAGATGTGTCCGGTGGGAGAAGATTGAAGATGATGAAGTAGGAAAAACCAAAAATTGATTGCTTTGAGAATTCGAACCTTCGACTGAATTAGGAAGATAGGTGGCGATTGACGTTGATGCTCAATGGGGCTGTGTGCGGTGCGTTGTGCCTGTTTCGACATTGTTGGAAGAGTTTGGGTCTTCGATTAAAGGAGAACGTGGATGTCGGCCGGTTTTGAAAAAGGAATGAAGAATCAGATTGAAAGAGAATGAGAATGAGGCGTCAATGGAAGAGTTTGAGCCCTTCTAATGTTTGGCTGCTAAACGTATGAGTTACTGGAAAATGGGAAATGGGTTTTAGGGTTTAGAGAGGAGGCCTGGGCGGGAACCGCTATGTCAATTTAACCGCTATGTCACAGACCAAGTTTCTGGAAAATTCCACGATCGTCTAGAGAACTCTGGATCGATCAAGTATACTCGAGAAGTCTCCGGAGAGATCAAGAATGCTCTACGGGACCCTGGAAGATACTAGAATATTATAGATGTCCGTGGAACAAAGGAGAACGATCCAGAATAATCAAGAAGGCACTAAAAGAAGCTAGAACGACCTGGAAGACTTTGGAACGATCTAGAACACGCTAGATCATACAAGAATGATTTGGATAATGTCGGGACAACCTAGAGATTTCTAGAACATCATAGACAAGTATACCATATTCTAGAGTCTTGTAAAATCCATGTATATAATAGGAAGAGTCTAGATTAGTCAAGAATGATCGGGACCTAGAAACTTCCATTTGAGGAGGTGTAAGGTTCCTATAAATAGGGAGAAGGGTTCATTTCCCCAAACCATCGAGAAGTTTCCTTGTAAAGAAGTTGAGTTATATAATAGAAGCTTTCTTGAAGTGTCCCTTGTCGTAACTCTTGCTTCCTAAGTTCGTTAGTACATCTAGATCGTCGAAGTTAGCCTGACTTAGTCGGAGAAGCACTAAGTGGCACACGGTATTGACTAGTCTAAAAGAGTCATCCCGTGACAAGTGGTATCAGAGCCAGCGTTCGTATGAGCAAGAGATTGTAGCAATGGAAGGAGGAAGTGATGTAGCTAACATTCCCCCTGTCGTCGAAGAGAAAGGAAGGAAGTCCAGGAGGAGGGACCAATCCGTTGACCCTTTGGCAAGCTTAGAAAACAAGCTTACAAAGGTGGAGATTAGCGTCGGTGAGATCCTTGAGTGGAAGGATACCGTCGATCAGTTCGTTGCAGAGATAAGTGACACGAGCGATGGATTGAAGGATACCATCGGTGACATCAAGGAAGAAGTCCTTGGACTTATCAACACCTTGCGGAATGAGTTCCGTGAGAAGGTAGTTACGCTGGAAGTTGAAGTAAACTTGTGCAAGGCAGCAATCGCCGGAGGAGCCGTTGCGAGTAAGTTGGCACACATGGACGCACCCAAACCATTGAAGTATGGAGGAAAACGCGACCCTAAAGAACTTGACGAATTCTTTTGGTCAATGGAATGTTACTTCAATGCTAGCCAAGTAAAGGAAGACAAGACGAAGGTCGATACGACAGTCCTTTACCTATGTGAAAGTGCAGCTCTATGGTGGAGAAGGAAGCACAGAGACATTGAAAAGGGCCTATACACCATAGACACCTGGGAAGAGTTCAAGAGGCAACTTAAGAGACAATTCTGCCCACATAATGCTGAAGACATAGCGATGAAGAAACTTCATGGGCTAAAGCATAGTGGATCCATCCGAGACTACATAGTCGAGTTCACGAGCTTGATGCTAGAGTTACCCAACATGCAAGAGAAAGACAAACTATTTTATTTCATGGATGGACTACAATCTTGGGCTTATAATGAGCTCAAAAGGAGAAATGTTAGAGACATAGACGAAGCTATCGCCGTGGCAGAAGATCTAATGGAATTTCGAAGAGAAAGCACGATTAAGAAGAATGGTGGGGGAGAACAAACTATGTCAGAACCTGAGCCAAAACAAGACACACCCCAACCGTTGAATACGAAAGGAAAAGTAATCGAAGGAAGATACCGAAGAGAAGAACGGAAGGAGATCAAGTGCTTCTTGTGTGATGGTCCTCACTTGATCCGAGATTGTCCGAAGAAAAAGACCTTCTATGCGATGGTGTTGCAAGAAGAAGAAGACGAAGCACAAATAAGCTCAATGCGTTTTCTAAACTCAATATCAAAAGATGAGATAAAATCATTTAAGAGGGAAGAAAATAAAGGAGGGAGTCTCATGTTCGTCGAAGCCAGAGTGAATGCAATAAACACTAAGGCGCTAGTAGATTCTGGAGCAACACATAGTTTCATCGCAGAGGAAGAAGCCAGGAAGTTGGGTATTCATTATACAAAGGAGTTAGGTCGGTTGAAAGTTGTCAACTCTCCATCTAATCCGATCCTAGGAGTTTCTCGTCGAATACCCATGAAGATTGCAGAATGGGAAGGGACCATCGACTTGATAGTGGTTCCGATGGACGACTATCGCATGGTACTAGGAATGGATTTCCTGGATATGGTATGTCCTTGGTCGTTCGAAAGAGACAACACCATGCGTATAACCAAGGGATCAACTATTCATATAATTCCCTTGGAAAGAAGCAAGACAAAAGCTCGAACCCTTTCAACTATGAAGTTTCATAAAGGCCCCGAGAGAGAAGGAAGTATGCACATGTGTCATGGCCAGAGTAATATGATCAAGGAGAATATGAAGCCAAAAAGGGAAATTTGAGAAAACAAGGCATACATGAAGGAACAGGGATCCATATCCCCCTTGAAGATTTACTCAAGAAGTTATGAGGCTGAGAGAAGAAGTAGGATTCAAGGTACGTTGAGAAATAAAAGCACACCTTACTCGAAGCAATACTTTGGAGAAAAAGAAAAGACACGAAGTAGCTCCGTGACAAGATCGAGACATATGTATAGAAGACTTGACGAGGACGTCAAGGGTTTAAGTGGGGGAGGGTGTCACGGACCAAGTTTCTGGAAAATTCCACGATCGTCTAGAGAACTCTGGAACGATCAAGTATACTCGAGAAGTCTCCGGAGAGATCAAGAATGATCGGGACCTAGAAACTTCCATTTGAGGAGGTGTAAGGTTCCTATAAATAGGGAGAAGGGCTCATTTCCCCAAACCATCGAGAAGTTTCCTTGTAAAGAAGTTGAGTTATATAATAGAAGCTTTCTTGAAGTGTCCATTGTCGTAACTCTTGCTTCCTAAGTTCGTTAGTACATCTAGATCGTCGAAGTTAGCCTGACTTAGTTGGAGAAGCACTAAGTGGCACACGTCATTGACTAGTCTAAAAGAGTCATCCCGTGACAGCTAGTTCTAAATCGTATGGTTAAAATGACGATGAAAAGAAATAAATATATATATATTTTTAAATAAAAATAATTAACACTACCTGTGACATAAAAAAAATATTAATTGTTTAAATACATATAACAAAATTGTTGTTAAGTTTTTTTAACCGAAAAACGGTTTTTAGAAAACCGATTGGGCCAAAAAAAAACAAATTCGGCCGATTTTGCCTTTCATTAAAACGTAATAACATTTTATACGAAAATGTATTTTTTAAAGACATAAAAAAAACATTTTATGTAAAATAAATACATAAAAATAAATATGTAAAAAAAATGTTTTATTAAAAGAATACTTTTATGTAAAATAAATACAGAAAAATAAATACAAAAAAATAAATATTTTTTCTAAACGTATTTTTTTATAATACGCTAAAATACATTTTGTTTTATTAAAAAAAAATTGTAAAAAAATGTTTTTTTTAAATTTATTTATTGTTTATGTTTTACCGATTTATTATTATATAAATGAGTTTTAGAAGGTAAAAACCAAGTGAGCCTTTAGCTCAAGTGGTTAAATGGTTGGGTAAAATAGAAGGGTGGAGGTCACGAGTTCGATCCCTCCCCTGACAATTTAATTATATTTTTCAAAGAAATTTCAAAAATGGTCCCTATGGTTTATCAAATGTCACGAATTCAATCCCTTTATACTTAAAAAGACGAAAATACCCTTACAGATTTAGTCCCCTAACAGCGTTTTACTAACGGTATTAGTAAAAAGGGCCAACTTTGCAAGTTTTGCAAACCACAAGGACCATTTGCATCAAAAAAAATTAGCAGAGACTAACTTTGTGACTTTTGGCAAACCACAGGGACCATTTTTGTAATTTTGTCTTTTTAAATTAAATGTAGATAAATATTTATTACCAACGCATTTTATTTTTATGTGTACGTATTTACTTTCCATGTCATGTTAATTATATTTAAAAAAATCAAAAATATTTTTATTTACATATTTAAATGTTAGATATGTAATATTAGGTTGAGCATGATATCGAAACGAACCGAATAGAAAGAACCGAAACTGCCACCTGAATACCAACTTATGTGGGTAAAACTTAACGAGTCTTTCATCAAAATAATTTAAACTGCATATTTATATATACCTACACATATATTGCATTTTTAAATATATGCAGATATTTAATTTGCCATGTCTTTTATAAAAGAGTAAATTACACGAATGGTCCCTATGGTTTGGAGTAATTTGCGCGTTTAGTCCCTAACTTATTTTGTTAACTCGGAAGGTCCCTACTGTTTGTTTTTGTTACGCGTTTGGTCCCTACTGTTTGTTTTTGTTACGCATTTGGTCCCTATCTTACCTAAAAAGACTATTATTTAAACAGGGAAAAATGGTGGGGTGGATAAGATAAGGTGAAGGGGATGGTTTTGGGGGTGTGTTTATTTAAATAAATTAAAAAACCGAGAGCAAAATAGTCTTTTTAGGTAAGACAAGGACCAAACGCGTAACAAACACAAATAGTAGGGACCTTCCGAGTTAAAAAAATAAGTTAGGGACCAAACGCGTAAATTACTCTAAACCGTAGGGACCATTCGTATAATTTACTCTTTATAAAATAAACAGTACTTATTATTATATATTTTATTTACCTACACATGTTCAAATCAATATTATGTGTTGGTAAAATAGTGATGAATCTTCAACAAATGTGTTTAATTTTATATATATATATATATATATATATATATATATATATATATATATATATATAATTACCTATACATAAAAGAAAATTTCCAATATGTGTTGGTAATTTCATATCACGGCGTTAAAAAAA